TATTTTTTATATTAAATAAAATAATTGGTAAATTATTACGGTAAATATTACGGTTTAAATAATGGTAAATAATTACCAATCCTTTTTTTCTTGGACGCGTCGTGGCGGGCGTCTACCACTAGATAACTCGTGGCTGGCAGTCAATGTGTTAAAACGGCAAATTAATTACAATACAAGAATTTAGACGATGTTTACACGTTCATACGTATGTTTACATGAATTTAATTTCTCGCAACAGGTGTTAATTCACTAACCGGTAAGATGGGTTTCGATGTATGTATTCCAATCTCTAGCCTTAAAGATACATGTTAATGGACCTGGACATATATGGGACGACGTTATTTAAAATATTATTTATTTTATGATGATTTGAAATAATTATTTGAGATCATTTTTAAATGTTTCGTGGAAATTATACGATGATCTAATTACCAGCTGCTCTGACTCCTTTTTTACACCGACATCCTCATTGACATTTCTGCAAAGTAAAGAAAGAAAGAAAGTTAAATGATTATCGGATAATTAGAAACATTTTTCTGACAAATGACACTCCTTTTCCATCTTCCGCACCAGTGGAACGATTAATTCCTTTCACAGCAATACATACTAGGCGTTTTGAAGAAAGTTTGTGTGTGTGTGTGTGTGTGTGCTCGAGACAAATTGCTGAGAAGATTTCTTAAAATCAAATCTTCTCGTTGCATATTATTTCGAGGATTACATCTTTATGAAGACAGAATTTTGCATAAAGCAAATTAATGTAAACGTTTCTTAAAATCAAATCTTTTCGTTGCATATTATTTCGAGGATTACATCTTTATGAAGACAGAATTTTGCATAAAGCAAATTAATGTAAACGTTTCTTAAAATCAAATCTTTTCGTTGCATCTTATTTCGAGGATTACGTCTTTATGAAGACAGAATTTTGCATAAAGCAAATTAATGTAAAAGTTTCTTAAAATAAAATCTTTTCGTTGAATCTTATTTCGAGGATTACGTCTTTATGAAGATAGAATTTTGCATAAAGCAAATTAATGTAAACGTTTCTTAAAATCAAATCTTTTCGTTGTGTATTATTTCGAGGATTACGTCTTTATGAAGACAGAATTTTGCATAAAGCAAATTAATGTAAACGTTTCTTAAAATCAAATCTTTTCGTTGTGTATTATTTCGAGGATTACGTCTTTATGAAGACAGAATTTTGCATAAAGCAAATTAATGTAAACGTTTCTTAAAATCAAATCTTTTCGTTGCATCTTATTTCGAGGATTACGTCTTTATGAAGACAGAATTTTGCATAAAGCAAATTAATGTAAACGTTTCTTAAAATCAAATCTTTTCGTTGCATCTTATTTCGAGGATTACGTCTTTATGAAGATAGAATTTTGCATAAAGCAAATTAATGTAAACGTTTCTTAAAATCAAATCTTTTCGTTGTGTATTATTTCGAGGATTACGTCTTTATGAAGACAGAATTTTGCATAAAGCAAATTAATGTAAACGTTTCTTAAAATCAAATCTTTTCGTTGTGTATTATTTCGAGGATTACGTCTTTATGAAGACAGAATTTTGCATAAAGCAAATTAATGTAAACGTTTCTTAAAATCATATCTTTCTGTTGCATATTATTTCAAGGATTACGTCTTTATGAAGACAGAATTTTGCATAAAGCAAATTAATGTAAAAGTTTCTTAAAATCAAATCTTTTCGTTGCATCTTATTTCGAGGATTATATCTTTCGTTATATCTCAAATAAAAAAACAAAATAATTAATTATTTCAAATTACTATTATTTCAAGTGGATCGATAGTATTTTTATTTTGAAAGAACAGCATTGAAGATAACAGTTTGAACTGAATTACATCAAATGTTTGGGACGGTGCTCGTTTTAACGTACAGACTAAATTGTTTTCAAAGTTTGAAAATGTGGAAGGAATGAAAATGAATAAGAACTGGAGAATAACACATACATTGTATAATTATTTACAAGGCGGATGACCATGTCGATTGCAATGACCATGAATCATGTTGTCGGCGACATGTTACTAAACAACTTTTCCCGATACTGTACACGCGTTACCGCCGCTCGACCTTAGTCTCCAAGATATATTGGAAACTAAGGTTAGCACCTACGCCTATGTTGAAAATACAGAATGAACTATCATGTCTATGGGAAACCTAACATAGTATAACCTAGTATAGTCGATAAAAAAAAGTATTGGCACACTTCTGAAAAAGTATTGGCACAGCTTTTTTAAAGCTGGACTAAATGACTAGAATTCTTTTTTAGATGATAGAAGAACTAGTGTCCTTTTCGTTATGGACTCACATAAAAAGATAGTAGAAAAAATGTGCTTTTTTTAAAATTTTTTTTCTCATCGTTCTCTCTCATTGTTCAGTAAACTGGCCCCAACATCTCCAAAAAATTGAAGCCAATTTTAGAAAAGTGTACCGTTTTGTTATAGGTGTATCAATATTTCTTTTACACACTGTACATTTTTTTCAGGTAACCTAATCTAAGTGTGCCTAGGCCGGACTGTCGTATTACCATGGTTTACCTTTATCTTGATTAGGCAATTTTATGTTCACCACCGACTTAAACAACATTTTTCTGCAACGATAAAACGTGTGAAATCTAGAGTCACTGGTTCGGACTAATGATTTACAGTAATCACTCAAATGTTCGACCATGAGAATATAGTTATGGTTTCTCTATCCTTCTC